AACCAGTTACATATGTATTTTCATATTAAATAAATATTTTTAGTTAATATGAAGATATACACACAACTACAATCATTCAAATCACTTTTACTTGTTCAATCAATAATTCTTGGAGCTCCTGCTCTATTTCTTTTTCTTGATAATAATGGAATCAAATTTAGTTTATTTACTTTGAAATCAACAACTCAAACATATCATGATTCCATTATTATCAAGAAAAAGGAATAAAGCAGCAACCCAAAGAACCATATCTTAAATTACTGAATAACAAGACTGTTAATCTCTTTTTTTCTCAAAAATTCAAAATGTGGTTCTTTGGGTTACTGCACTGCTTCCCCCAATGGTTGAAGGCAAAAATAAATACTCCCTCAGATCACTTTTACTTGTTAAATTTGAATTATCAAAAACAATTTATCTTGATTATAGCCATAGAAATGTTGTCAAACATTCTTGAATGCAATCACACAATATTCAAAACATTTTCAACACAGCCTTTCACTAGCTGTATCATTAGACTTCAACTTTAACAGTCTTTAACAGTTTGATATAATACTTCTCTATCAAACTAGTTTCTCAATCAATGGTTTAATACGATATATTATTTCAATACTACTAATACAGTAGGTTAAATTAAATCAATATCTTAAACTCCATTTCCAATCAAATATTAACAGTCAAAGTATTGATATAAGAATCTTCTATAACATTTTCCCACTATTTAACTCCATTTCATTAAAATTCAACATACTCAAAACACAGATCAACAAATGTAAAGCAAATCGGAGAATAGCTCACCGCTTGACTACCTAAAATTCTTCACCATATTGATGAGAATTCAATTACCCACCTAATAATCTCATCTCCATTTTCCGCATATATATCCTCAATTGTTTTTTTTTAAAACAAAAAAGCAAATCAGAGACACAGACAAGCATAATCAAGGTAATTCCCACTACTGGAACCCATTTCATTAGAAGATGAAATACTATTACCTCAAATTAACCTAAATACCTGGTCTAATTACCATTTCCAAATTCAACACATCCAATCACACACATCAATAGGCATAGAGCAAACCAACTTAATTGACAACATGATTTTTCACCTTATCCATAAAAATTCAAATCCCTATTTAAAAAAACACGAATCAGAGACTCACACAAGCATAATCAGGATGATTCGCAGTCAAAGCAGCCGCCGTCTCAGCAGCCAATTCATCAAGCTGACTCGTAGTAACCCCTTTATAAACACCAGCACAAACCTTCTGAGACACAAGCACCGGGTCACAATGATCAGGACTAAGCCCATAACTCAATTTCTTCAATCTAGCAGTAATCTTATCAAAATGAACCGCTTCTTGACGCCCATCTCTCTTCACAACATACATTGTTCCTTTCTCTTTTTTCAGTGAGGAATTTCGTCAAACAGTTGGCAGAAGGAACAGATTACAAAACAAAAAAATGGAAAGTCAGACTATAAGAATTTACTTAAATTTCAGTGAGCTCTGTGCGTATATATAACATTTAACAAACAATTCTTTGAACTTTTGTATTTGAATTTCCCTCTCTTTTCTTTTCGTAGAAATGAAATTTTTTGAAATTTTCCCGCCAAATGGAAGAGCGGGTTATGTAGGGTTTGGCGGGTAAAAATACTAAATATGGCTGGAAAAGTGGAGGAGAAGCTATCTGTGGGGGCCACTTTGTCGAGATTTTTGTGGAAACTATAATTTCACATAATTGATACTCCCTCCGTTTGACTTGGAACGAAATTTAAAAAAGAAAGAAATTTTTTAATTTTGTGATTTTAAATTAAAATTATATCAAATGTATCAAAGTGTTCTTTAATTTAGTGATCTTAAATATATCACGTGAAAAGTTTAAGTTAAATTGTTGCCAAAAAAGAAAAGGAATTATTCTTTTTTAAACAAACTAAAAAGAAAATATCGACATTCTTTTTTAAATGGATGAGTTAAAAAAAAACATTTTAAATATAAATAACAAATTTGAGTCAGAAAACAATCACTAATAGGTATATTCCTCTTTCTCTTAATTCATGTAGTGACTTTTGATGGTAAAATAATTTATATTAATCATATATTTGGACATGAAATTTTTAAGTTTATTAAATAAGATTATCATATTTGAAAATTGTGTAAAATATACATTTAAAAAATTACCATAAAAATAGATTTGCTTGAGTTGTTAAAAGAATTGTTTAAATTTGAAAATATGAAAAATATCACATAGATTAGGTGGAAGAATATTATGATAAGATTGTCTACTTTTCTATGTCACATTTCTAAAGTAAAATATTTTATGCACCAAATTATCATTTTTAATGTATTGGCAATATATTTATGAAATTATGCAGCAACATAAGAATTATTGTACTCTAGCTAATAAGGAACAAAATTGAATGTTCTTATTTATGATTAACTTTAGTGGTAAACTTTAGTGGTAAATAATAAATATCAATTTTAATACTCATTTGTATAATTTATACTTTTGCCGCCAATTTTTATAATTTTTTGTTGCGGTAGGTAGGACCAAATTATAATGAATTGGTTAGCTTTTGTTACAAGATTGGAATTTGGAAGTTGGGCCATTATGTACTGTTTATTTTAATTTTTTTAGTTGTCATTTTTTGGGATTCTAAACTTTAAGCTTGTAATGAAAGTCAACATATTTACATATTTGAATTTTAAAATAAAATTAAAAAATAATTCAAAAGTTCAAATTTTGAAATTTGAGTTCATTTCACCATTCTTTTCAAAAATAAAAAATTGTTAGATATTTTTATTTGAAAGTTTGAGATGGTCGAATCAAAATTCAAACCAAAAAATGTCTAGTATTTAGTATTGACGAAATCTACGTTTAATCATCCTTGTCAACGATTTTTGAATTTGAACTTTTCCTAAACATCACTTTAGAGTTCAGAGTTCAGGCATTGTTTGTCTTTTGATATTGATCTCGAAATGGCTAAATTTGTAAGATAAATTTATGCAGTTCAATTGGCTATTTGTGCAAATTGCCTCTAGATATTTTGGTTTCATTTGGACTTCGCAAATATGTCCAAAGAAAAATAGTATTTCTGGTATTAACTTTGGGCTTTTCAAAGATAATTTTCATGAGATTTGCATCTATATGGCTGGTCCATGAACCTTCACTTGATTAAAGAAGGTTCTACTAACTAAATAAATCGGATTTTAAAAGTGGCGGATTCAAAATATTAATGGGAGATCAATAAATATATAGCAATGTTTGCCGAACTTTGTATATGTCCTAAAAAATATCATCAAATATCAACAAATCGAATTTGAACCGAATTATTATTGCATATGTACTTGAAATTGCTATACAATAACGCATAAACTTCAATTTTGAATCCACCTAGTTAGTGGCAAAATTTGAAATTTCACTACGGATGTTTAAGAATTAATATATACTACATTGACCTATATATTTCGTATTGTTTATCTATATGTACAATATAATTTTTCAACGAATGGTGTTTAACTGACCCCTTAATATTGTTTAACCGGAAATAGCCAAGTCAACAAGTTGAGACTTTCAACAACTTTAATTTGTTTGTTAAATTTAATGTGGAAAATTTCTGAAAATCATTCTCCAAACTGTCAAGGTACTGGATGTACAAGCATATAAGTGAGTGTCTTCACATAATGTCCCCTGTGAAAAAGCTCAAAGATAACTCGATAAAAATGTACTCGTATCAAATGTTCAAATTAAATCAATCAATATGTGTATACCATGTGTTTGAGTATAGACACTTGATGAATAGCTGATTGCACACATTTCTCTTCTCATTTAGTATCATTCTAATACAACTTTATTAAATTTTGGAAGGTAAATTTAAATACTTTTCAATACAAGATTAATATTATACGAGTAGCAATTATGTTTAAGTGAATGGTAAAATGGTAGTTCAACATTTTATGAATATCTTCGTCTTTCAATTTTTGACTTGGCATCTTCTTACTATAGCATAGTATAATAACGACAGACAATGATAAATATTTTATAAGAAAAATATTGAATGTGTGTTGCGTTTTATTTTATTTTCTTTTACATGGTACGCAACTTTATAAGATATGATTTGAAAGATTGACTCCAATGGACTTGGCTCTAAACAATATATTGAAAATTTATTTGATTTTGTCAAACACAATGCAACTTTTCAATAAAATACGTTGAGAACAAAATTAAGTAATTAGTTCCGTTCACTTTAATAATCTACAGAAAAAAACATGTTGTATTTGAAAGTAAAGAAGTAATGAAACGAACAAAAACGTATATTGAAATATTCTGATTTACGTTATTTTAATAAAAATGTCGAAAGTTTTATTAATTTACTATTTCTTAAAATAAGTATAAAATTCAATATATTTAAGATAAGCTTTTTAACGATTTAATAAAATTATAAAAAGTTAATTATCCTCTGAATTTGCTGAATACAGTTCATAATTATCCTCTGAATTCACTGAATACAGTTCATGTCTCTATGCATATCCTCCTGATTATAATGATATAATGAATATAATCTAGTGTTAAACTTAATCTCATAAAAAAGATACGGATAATGGATAAGTATTTCTCAACCCGTCTTAAATTTCAGAGACACAATTATACCATATTAATGTCTCATTATCTTCCTGAATTTATTTTATAAATGATTTTCTACCTTTTTCGTCCTACGTGACACTATCTTCCAGCGTGTGTTGACATTTTATTTAAACTAGTGCTACATAGGTCGAAAAAGGGTAAAAAATTATTTATAAAATAAGTTAAACGGGTAATAGTATAAGTGTGTTTTTGAGATTTCAAACATAAATTGAGGGAATACTCATGCATTTTCTCGAAAAAAGATCATCAAACTTTTAACTTCTAAATGTTTTTCTTAAAAAGTACGCAGGACTCTTCGATCAATTCAAAATTATTTTTCCTCTCTTGTTATCAATTCAGACTTGAGATTTCTACGTAGTTATGGGGACTAGCATAGACACATACAAGAGGTTCAAGCCTCACATACTTATGGTTTTAGGTCAACTTGCTTATACTTTGTTGTACTTTTTAACTGAAGCATCATTCAATCATGGAATGAATCCGCACGTTTATGTAACTTATCGACATATCGTTGCGGGTTTTGTTACGCTACCGTTTGCTTATTTTCTTGAAAGGTAAATCACAAATTCATTTCCAATGCAGAAATGCATTTTTTCTGATGTTTATGTTGATTTCTGCAGAAATAAAAGGCCAAAGTTAACTATAGCTTTGTTGTTGGAGATATTTGTACTATCTCTACTGGGGTAAGATCTATTGAACATCAAATTTTCTTATGTTGTTTGATGAGGAATATTATACTATAACAAAAATAACTTTTAGCGGCAATAAATAGATACATTAATAAAAAGTTTTAAAACCTTAATTTATCGGTATTAGTTAAGTGTCGTTAGATCTAATATGGCTAAAGCCTCTAGAGACATATATAAAGAATGTTAATTGCCACCAAAAATATATATTTAGCGGCAATTGCTAATTAGTTGACACTAAAGATCAATTTTGATGTAGTGTTAACAGTATATATCATTCATAACAGAGTGAGTTTGACACTGAACATGTACTTTGCGAGCTTGAACTACACTTCTCCGACTCTTCTTGCCTCGATGGTCAACACTATAGCTGCCTTATCATTTGTACTAGCAGTTATTCTGAGGTAACACATACAATTCCCATCATGAAGAAAATATGACTGCAATCAAAGTTCATAGATGGTCTTTATTGGTGTAGGTTGGAAGATGCTAACATTCGAAATCCTAGAGGAATAGCAAAAGTCATAGGAACCTTGGTTTCCTTGGCCGGTGTCTCGGGCATGACCTTGTACAAAGGACCTGTTGTGAAAAGCTTAGGACGTACCCTCATCTACATCCACAGAGGGAATGGTGTTGTCCACGAGAATTGGTCAAAAGGCTTGATCCTCACTGCTGCAAGCTGCATTACGTGGTCAATGTGGTACATCATGCAGGTTTGCACTATAACTCTTCCTATATCGACTTGCATGTAATATGAGAAGTTGACACTGGAATTTTTCAGGCTTACACTTTGAAAAGATATCCAGCACAACTATCACTGACAACATGGATGAGTTTTGTCGGTGCAACACAGTCAGCGTTCTATACGGTAACTGTACAACACAAACGAACAGCTTGGACGATGGGTTTAGACATTGAATTGTGGTCTACTTTGTATGGGGTAAGAAGGGTTCAAGTTCAATAGTTTCTCACCAAAACAATTATGAACTTGCACATTTTAATTAGAATTGTTTGTATCTGGAATAGGGCATAGTGATGTCTGGTTTAGTAGTGTACATACAACTCTGGTGCATTGAACAAAAGGGACCAGTTTTCATTACAGTGTTCAATCCAGTCTCAACCGTACTAGTTGCAGTTGTAGCATATTTCGTCCTTGGTGAAAAGCTCTACACAGGAAGGTAAGCAATCGAGATCTTACCCCCTCAATTTGTTCTTTGGGTCAAATTCATTTACTCTATATAATACGCTCCTTAAAAACATTTTCAGCATCATTGGAGCAGTAATTGTCATTACTGGATTGTACTTGCTTTTGTGGGGAAAAGAAGATCCACAACCAGAATCGGAAGAGCAAGAGCAATGTTGCACAACTCACGAAGACCCTATGATGCAGATTAGTGCAGAACCTTGATAATCTCTGCTCCTTTATGTATATACATGGTAGAAGTAAAACAATAATAGACATAATTCTGAGTATAGTCAAGACTCTTTTTTGTTTGGATGTTCGATTAGTTATGCAAGATGTGGCAGGATAAAACAGCAGCGGCCATATCATTATTATTTCTGTCCAGATAGAGTAGACAAAAAATCACACATAATTTATCTACCCATCCTAACCAATAACTGGAGATCTTCATGAAGAGGTATGGATTGGTCCCTTTTCTTGCTCCTGCGCATTAAGGACTATACCACTATATACGCTTAGAAAAAGCTTCTTTTTCGCACTTTTACTTCCCTATGGTTATGCAAAACAAAGTCCTACGGGTAGTTAATTAGTCATATTTTAATATATAAAATTTCTCTGTTTTATTGGTTGTACATAGTTTAATCTTCTCAATAATATTTATTCTGATCAATCTTTTAACATTCGTTAAATACTCTATAAAGTGTATCACAAGGTGAGTTTGTCCAATTATTTCATTTGCCTTCTTTGGTTAGAATTCTCCTCCAAAAAGAGTATTACTTCAGATAAATCTATTCCAATATAATTGATTTAGCTACAAATATTGACCAACACTTCTTGTATTATTGCTAAGCTAGCAACATATTCACTTCTTTTAGTATAATATCTATTTATGAAAAGCTTCTATTGCAATAAAATTTAAAATTCAGATACAAGTTGATCTGTGAATGCCTTTGCATATTTGAACTTTGAAATGTGGACATGGACTATGCTTGGAGCACACAGGTTCATAGTTGATTGTGTGTTTATGTAGTTTAAAATGGTAAAATGCACGTGCGTTGCACGTGTTCGAGAACTAGTAATAATATAAATATATAATACCTGGGGAAAATAGAAAATAACTAACCTTGTTTTTGAATATGATACTGCAATTTAGTATAGGGCATTCTGACTGTTGATTTTAAATTTGCCAGTTGATACTACTTAGCCTATTGTTTGTACTTTGTAGTTCTTTCTTTAATAAAACTACTTAGTGTTTATATCTTTTCGCAGTTTTTGGTGAATGTAACATGGCTGAAAATATCATAATTTATAAGGTTATTGGTGAAAGTGGGGCTTCTAATTCAAATGCAATAGATCAAAGTCAAACTATTGAGTCTAAAGTAAAGAAAGGAAGGAAAAAAAGATCTCGTGCGTGGGATCATTTTACCGTAAAACTGATATTGATGGAAGTGAAAAGGTTGTTTGTAACTATTGTAAGAAAGAGTATTTTGCTGACACAAAAGAACATGGTACAACGTCAATGCTTACTCATATAAACAAATGCACAAAGATACCTTATAATATTGATATTAAACAATCAAGAATAGCATTTCAACAAATGATAGGGGGTAACAATGGTGATGTAGTTGTTGTTCCATGGATATTTGATCAGGAAGAGTGTAGAAAGGCCTTGTGTCGTATGGTAATTATTGATGAACTTCCTTTCAGATTTGTTGAAAAAGAAGGTTTTAAACAATTTATGAAAGTAGCACAACCTTTTTTTCACATTCCTTCCCGTACCACTGTGACTTGTGACTATTTTATTCCTTTTGATGAAGAAAAACGTAACTTGATGGCTGTTTTTAAGGAAACACAACAAAAGGTGTCTTTAACCACTGATACTTGGACTTCCATACAAAGAATCAATTATATGGTCATTACTGCTCATTGGATTGATAAAAATTGGACTTTGCATAAAAGAATTATCAACTTTTGTCCAATCACTAGTCATAGAGGTGAAGATCTTGGAAAGTCTATTAGTAAGTGCTTACATGAGTGGGGATTGCATCGAATTTTCACTGTAACAGTTGATAATGCTGGTTCAAATAGTGTGGCAATAACTGAGTTGTCTAAGCAATTAACTAATTGGGAAACCAACTTAATGGGTGGTAGTCACCTTCATATAAGGTGTATGACTCATACTGTAAATCTTATTCTTCAAGATGGTACAAAAGAAGCAAATGTGTCTATTGAACGAGTTAGGCAAGCAGTGAGATACATCAGGCAATCTCCTGCTAGGTGGAAAATATTTCAAGAATGTTGTGAAGATGAAAATCTTGTTAAAAAGTCTTTATGCTTGGATGTTCCTAGAAGGTGGAATTCCATCTACATGATGTTGAGCAGGGTTATTGAATATGAAGGGGCAATTGTAGAGTACGCCGATCGTGATATTGGCTTGGCACTATACTTAAGTTTGTTGATAAAAATTCTACAGGTACACTTTTGAGTAGTGATTGGGAGGGCGTAAAGAGAACTACAAAATTTCTTGAAATGTTTTTTAATCTTACTTTGAAGATATATGGTTCACGATATGTTACATCAAATCTTCATTTTCTTGAAATTTATCAAGTTGGTGTTTACTTGAATCAATTGATATCAAATGAAGATCAAGTTTTGGCTAAAATGACAGAAAATATGAAGGAGAAATTTGACAAATATTTGGGGTGATGCTGAAAAAATGAATAAGATGGTTTTCATACTATGTGTTTTGGATCCTCATCACAAATTTAGTACTCTTGGCTTTGCAATTAAGAAGATGTTTGGAGAAAAAGGGGATGCTATAGAAAATGGTGCGCGAACGTACATGGAAGCTTTGTTTAATGAGTATACAAACCCCATTTCAAATGATAAAAGTGGCCAATTTTCTTGAACTGGTGTGGATACTTCTATTTCAAGTTCTGTAGGAGAATTTGAAATTTTTTTTGAGGAATTACATAAACATAAATTTGAAAAGGGAGGTGCAAGTTCAAAGTCAGAATTAGTTAAGTATCTTGATGAAGACATTGAAATTGAAAAATCAGATTTTGATGTATTAATTTGGTGGAAAGTTAACTCACCTAGATTTTCCATTTCTTTCTGAGATGACTCGAGATGTGTTGGCTATTCCCGTTTCAAGTGTGGCGTCTGAATGTGCTTTTAGTACTGGAGGGCGCATACTTGATTCATTTAGGAGTTCATTAACTCCTAGATTGGTACAAGCTCTAGTGTACCTTCAAGATTGGCTTCGGAGTGAGCCATAACCCATAAGTATTGAGGAAGATTTAGATTTTCTTGAGCAACTTGAAGAAGGTAAGAAAAGAATCTCATTGATGTTAAATTGTGAATTGTTTATTTAATACTTTTATTGTTTAAGTCTTGAGCCTTGACTTGTTATCGTATTTCTTTTTAGATTTTGCTAAACTTGGAAAAGAACTTTGCATTGATGACATGTAAAATTGGAGGAAGGAAGGTATATACATGTGCTATCTTGTCTTTGTATCTGATTTATTATTGATCTAATACTTTCTCTGTTTCTTTGCTAATCAGATTTCATCATGCATCGATCACTTGTTTGGAATCACTATGAAAAACTTGAAGAAAATGAAGATGGATCGTGGAAGGTAAAATGTATTCATTGTGGCTGTGTTTATTACCATTCACGCAATACTGAGACTGCCTCCTTAAGAAGGCATGTTAAGGGTTATTTGGAAAACAGAAACCAAAATCGTCAACTTTTGAGGATTGATGACTAGTTATTATTATGTTTAGACTTAATTTTCAGGTTGTGTTACTGCTGTCTGGTGTCTGCTATTTTAAATTTGTCTGTGTGTGACTGTGTGAAGTGTGGAGTGTGAACTGTGGCAGCCTGGTAGGCTGGAATTGTGTTGAATTTTTTACTTCTGTAATGTTGCAACTTGCATGCTTGTAGCTTGTACTGTTGGCTATTATTATGTTACAGTTTTTGACTGCTTTATTATGTTATTTTACACTCCGCCTGGGGAGTACGGTCGCAAGACCGAAACTCAAAGGAATTGCCGGTATACACCCCACAGAGGAAATTGGGCTGTGAGGTGAGTAACTATATTCAACAATCATTTGCCAACATCGTTCCTAAGCCCTACTAAGTAAGGGGGGATGTGGCTCCTTTCCTTACAGTCAAGTGGCTTTCAGCTCCTTTTGCCCAGGGGACATCGTCGGAGAACAATGTCGGGGACAGGGTGAGAGCCTCCCGTTGGTTACGCCCTTTAAGTGTCGGTTCTTCCATATTATTTTACTGTGAGATTTCATATTTGTGTTGCAAAGTTTATATATGTATTGTACAGTTGTAATATTGTTAAGTGCTTGCAAGCAACATGGAAACACTGAAATGGGAGTAAGGTTCGCCAATCGCTTACTAATTCTCGGACCAAAATATCCTTCAACTTGTATATTACTGTCAAATACATATGCTGGTGCAACTCCGTGGGATAATGTCTCTAAGTTGAGGAAGCAGCTGGCAAATTTGGAAGTTAGAAAAGAACCTGGCTACAATTATAAAGTTTATATAAAGAATTACAAACCGAAAAATTGTCATTAGAGATGCAAATAGATTCCATCACTTCAATGAGAGGGCATGTTCATGTAATGATTTCTGGTGAACTAAATTGTTTTCACTTTCTGCCTACAAATTGCAGTGTAAAGTGCAAATTGTAAATTGCAATTCTGTAGACTTAATTTGCAAAGTGCGTGGGATTAATCTTCGAAATTTCATGTGATTTTTATTTTAAAAAATTGTATGATATGTTAATGGTTAACCCGATAACCGAACTGATAAGAGTCGATAACCGATAATCGATAAATCGATAACTTAATGGTTTAGCTAGTCTACAAACCAATAAACGATAAGCAAAATCGAATCAGAATTGATCAAACAAATTTCCAACAACTAATGGACTAAATATACACATGAATTCCTCTTTTGTGATCCCAAAACTTCAAAATAAGTGACGTCAGTCTTGTAAAGGCAAAAAGTATATTTCACTAGGTCATCACAAATATAGCCATAAAATTTAGGGTCAAACGGAGTCCGTTAGTCATTTTCTGAAAAAATCATGAGCTTATACACACAAATAAGTAAGATAAATTAAACCTGAATTCCTAATTCGTGACCCACAAACTCAAAAAAAGTGACGCCAATTTCTGGAGAAACACAAGTATCATTCACTAGGTCGTTTCAAATGAGCCTACAAAATTTGGTGTTGAACAGAGTCAGTCAACATATTCCAAAAAGTTCGTGGACAAAATACATACAAAAATTTTAGATAATCATGAATTCTTCTTTTGTAACCTCAAAACTTCAAAAAAGTATTGTCAGTTTGTCAAAGCGAAAGAACATCATTCACTAGATCATCACTAATAAATCTACAAAATTTGGGATCAAATAAAGTCTGTCAATCATAAAGACGTACATCCCACTTGGAGTTGTTGGAAAATAAATCTGTAACAGAAATAATATTTGCGGTAATAAAAGCGGAACACAACAATATGATTAATCAACGAGAATAAAAGAAAAATAATGACATCAAGATTTTACGTGAAAACCTTCATAAATAAGGAAAAAATCACGACCTGAGAGAAGCAATTGATATCGCTATAGTAATGACTTTTACAATTGTAGGTCTGAGTAAAACTGCAAAGACCACCACACGCTCAAAAGAAATGACCCTCTTTTGATTTTTCCACCTTACTACAATATCGTTAACACTTCTCTATTTTTCTCACAGACTATTTCCTCTATGATGCCTCACTCTTCTTTTTTCTCCTTTGTATTTTTTTTTTATATACATTGAGAATGAAGAATTGTCCTCCTTTTTATAGAGTACAAATACACTACCCTCCAAATGTGCTACAGAAGAAAAACAATTTTTTCGTCTTCACATCTTATCAATATTTGAATAATAACAAAAGCTGAAAATAAATCAGCACACCAAATCTGCCAAACTTTGAAATTGACAGAGAGTTATTCAAAATTTGATACATGGGGATGAACCCCACAGGAGTCATGTATTGGTTTGTACTTCAGATTGTTCCCTTCCCTTTTATAGTAATAATCATATATTATTACAAGTAGGAAGATTTTGAGTTTAAAGTTGAATTACGAAAATGTCCTTCACCAAATTTAAATATTACTAGTTTCCGAGAACGTGCGTTGCAAGTTTATCCTAAAATCCTTCATATAAAGTTTGTACTGCAAAAAATAAATTTAGACTATATATATATATATATGGTAATTTTTTTTAATCTTTCTTTAATTTTTTTGTTAGTGAGTTGGATTCACTTGGACAGAAATCACATCAACTTTTTGTCTTGTAGGATATTCCATTGATTTTCATGAATGCAGTGAGTAAGTTAGAAGTCTTTCTTCTTTTCCTTGTGTAAAAGACTCTTTTTTTTTATTCGAGAATCCAATTAAGTGTTCCGTCTCAACTTCTATATAATGATTTTTGTATAAAAATCAAACAAAAAATTTATTAAGACCACATCAACTTACATAGAAGCAATTAATTGCATGTAAGGAACAATGATATATATTACCTGGAAATCGATACCACTTGAAACAGTTCAATGTGTGTTGCTTCACTTACTACATCATTACTATGAAATATTAACGTCATTTCTTAACTGTATTTTCATAAAAAAAGTCAAACAAAATTCTTTAGTAGTTGAAATATTCAACAAATAGATGAGTTAAAATAAAGATAAATAAAACATTGAACATAAAAAACTCATATAAAAAAATAATAGAGATAACATGATTACATGAGAAAGTAGAATACATAATACAGGAGAATGGAGAATCTGCTAATAGAAGATAAAAACGTTACAAATTAAGTAATTCAAGAAGTGACCTTTTAATATCTTTAACCTAACACCTTCATATGAGTTTTTTTTTTTTGGCTTAAGTCATCAGTGACCCTTTAAAGTTGTCCGTATAATTCACTTAGACACTTCAATTAATACTAGTACCAATTGAACACTTTTACCTATATAATAATCATTTCTATTAGACATTTTTTGATAATCAATAAAAAAAATAAAGAGTGTGATACACTTGCAAATGACATGGCAAAATGACTAATTAAAAAATAACATTTGACATTGAGCCCAAAAATTAAAAAAAAAACATTTAATATTTAATTTTGTAAAAGAGAAAAAGAAAAATGAAAATGTCAACCTATTCTACCCTACCCCACTCTAACCCCCTTTCATCTTCATCTTCTTCCCCAAAACACATTCTTTCTCAAATTACAAAATCTTATTCTTTTGAAATAACTTCAAGATTAATTTTTTTTTTCATACTAAGAGTGAAGAAGAAAGAAACTTTTGTTGGCGGTTATTCAACTCTACATCGATGACAAAATGAAATTGATAGCTCCAAAATTATTTCTTTCAAATTTTTTTATATCATTTTTGATAAATTTAATGACCACGTATGAATTTGAGTAAAAAACTATTTTATACGTAGAAATCATTTATCTTTTTTCATCTCCTTCATACTTGTTTCTTGTTTTTATGAGATTTCAAATAAATCATACGAACACTTTCTTTCAAATCTGAATCTTTATAGTTGATTTTCATTTATCTTCATATTTGGAAGATATAAATTTTTTGTATATAATAAAAGAAAAAAAATAGTGTTAGAGCTAAAATGAAGAAAGTTTTGTAAACTAAATTATGAAGAAGATGATAGATAGGGAGTGGGGTGTTTTCTTTTTTGAAAAAAGTGTAAATAAAGAAGAAAATATTTTTTAAGTTAATTATAATGCCAAATGTCAATAAAAGAAGAAAAAATGTAAAAAAAAAAAAATAAACTATTTTAAGTCTTTTCACGTGCTTCAGGGAAGTGCAATACACATTATTTTGCCATATCAACATTTTGTGTCTAACAGGTACATGCTTTGAACAATTTAGGTGTTCAATAGGTACAAATCTCAATTGAGGTGTCTAAGTGAATTATGCGGACAACTTTGAAGGGCGGTATATGACTTAAACCTTTTTTTTTTTTAAAAAAATGACAATGGTTTAAAGAGCATAATAAAAGTAGGTAACTTAAAAGGCTAAATCATTATTGCTATATTTTTGAAATTATTTATTTCAATGCATGTATATTTTTTTATCTAGTAAAATTTTATCTAGAAATCAATTATGAATGAAGGACAATAAATTTCCACTTTAAGAATTGAATTAGGTCTTTATTATGTTATTACTTTCACTAAGTATTATTTAATAATATCTATCATATGAACTAATATCTAAAACATAATTAACTATTATAGGTGTAAAATGGTAATTCAACTTTGGGTTTTGGAGCTTCACACTTATAATAATATATGATAACACATCAAATTATTTAAATATTAAATGCACATACAAAATTCATTAACTATTTTTTATCTTAAGAGAAACTGAAAAAGAAATTAAATGTGGAATTAGAGAGTTCATGTATCTATTTCATTTGTACTACATTATCAAAAATCATGAAATTTTAAAAGAAAAAAGAAGATGAAACATTATTTCTAAGTGATAAACAATGAAGAAGTTGGAAAGTCATTACTAATTGATAAATTACCATTAAGAAAATAACTTTTTACAATAAATAATAAATGGTACATGTCCTATATTTATTGTAAAAAGTTATTTTCTTAATGGTAATTTATCAATTAGTAATGACTTTCCAACTTCTTTTATATATATATATATAGATATGACATGTACCATTTATTATTTATCGTAAAAAGTTATTTTCTTAATGGTAATTTATCAATTAGTAATGTCTTTCCAACTTCTTTTATATATATATATATATATATATATATATATATATATATATATTTTGCAGAATTTTAAAAGCTCTATAGTAATTAAATGTAGACTAATTTAATTTAATACATACTATTAATAAATCTGTTAAAGGAATCCCAAAGAACATCAAAGAAAATTGTTTCCATTTTTCTCATGGACATGTTTCAGTTGAGTAGGATTTCTTTTATCTTTGTTTTTCGACTTCTTTTTCATCATTTTCCCCTTTTCTTTAAAACAACATTTGCATGAAATAATAGATGGTGAAGAATGTAGATTTAATGAATATATAATGGAATCAAAGAATTGCCAAATTCAAACTTTGTGGGATGATATATGAAGGTTACCGTTTCCATCATCAACATTAGCAAGATTCATGAGGTATGAAAGAAAGAAAATTGGTTTCTTTGAAAGACTGATTTTTATAATTTTCATTAATTGATTTATTTTTTATAGTTTCTTATGATTATATTATTTATAGATGAAAAACAATGTGTACAATTTAATATGTTATCACTGTATAGTGTATTTGTTGGGAGTCTTAAATAATATATTGCTTAATTATTTTTATTTAATTAATTTCTAAAATTTTGTTCCAAGTCATTATTTACTAAGATTTAACAAATCTTTAATTTGAATTTTATGATGATTACAAATATCAATAAATTAGAGTATTAATGCAATTTTACTATATTAGATGGATTGTTGATCTTGAAAGAAACAAAAATAATTGAAATTGCCACTAAAATTATTTTTAAAAACTCAAAAGGAAGCTTCAAAAGCTTTGATAATTGATTGCTCCGGTATAGTAATTTTGTTAGTTTAGTTAATTAGTTCATTATTTATAGTTTATTATAATTACTTTATTTATAGATGAAATACAATATTGTTTTATTATTTTTATTTAATTAAGTTCTAAAATTTGTTTCCTGTTATTTTACCAAAGTTCAATAGATCTTTAGTTTTAAAATCAATTATTGTGGTGATGAAAAAATAAAGTTAAAAAGTTAAATAAACAATTTAAAATTATTTTCTATGATGCAATTGACATTGAATAACACGTGCGATACATGTGTCCAGGAACTAGTTATAACTAAAAGGAAATTGTCATTTCAACATAGAAATAAAATGGAAAATCTAGAGTCTGAACTAGAATTGGCAAAAGAGAATGAGAATATTGCATCATCCAAGGTCAAGGCTTGAATACTCTACTTTACACTTGTCTCTCTTAAATAAATCTCACTACTTTTGAATTCTTCAAACTAATAATAATTTCTATTCTATACAATTAATATTGCCTATTTTTGACAACACATAATACTAAGGGTACAATGGAAAAAATTAATTAATTTCAAAGGTTTTGGTGGCTATAAAGGTTTTGAATTTGAAAAGTGAGGAAGTATGCAAAAGGTTTGATACCGAATGCGAAGTGATGAGAAATATCAGGCACAAAAATCTCGTTCCAGTGATTACTACTTGTTCTAGTGACTATATAAGAGCCTTTGTTCTGCAATATATGCCCAACGGTAGTCTTGATAATTGGTTGTACAGAGAAGATTTCCCCTTGAACCTTCACCAAAGAGTTGCTATAATGCTAGATGTGGCTAAGGCAATTGAATATCTGCATCATAGTAATGATACTCCGATAGTTCATTGCGACCTAAAGCAGCCAACGTTCTTTTGGATGAAGATATGGTGGCTCATGTTGGTGATTTTGGCATCTCTAAAATTTTATCTGTAAGCAAGTCCATGGCACATACTGAGACATTAGGCACTCTTGGATATATTGCACCAGGTATTAGTCTCTTTCTATTTCACTTATATTGACCCTTTCTTTTCTATTTTCACAAATCATAATATAGTCCTTCCAAAATCTAGAACTAAATAAAAGAAGTGTCTGTTAGGACATAATTATTGTTATATTTCAATTGAATAATTTATTTTTTTCTAAGAATATGGCTCGGAGGGAATAGTGTCCACTACTGGTATGTTTATAGTTACGGCATCATGTTGATGGAGATTGTGTCAAAAAGAAGACCAACCGATGAAGAGTATGCTATGAAAATCTTGACTTGAGGAAATGGATAACACATGGATGTCGAGGGACTATGATGGATGTTGTGGATGCCAATCTTTTTACTAAGAAAGAACAGATCACTTCCAAAAGTGAAATGTGCCTTGCATCCGTGATAGAATTGGCTTTAGACTGCACAAAGGAAATGCCAGAATCAAGAATAAACATGAAAGAGGTAGTCAGCAGGCTTAACTAAATCAAGAACACATTTCTTGAAACATAGAGGTTAGCATATCTCTTCTAGTGGTGTTCTTTCTCAGCTACATTTTAACATGTTGCTTTTTGTTTACCTGGTTTCTTGGAGTCATATACTGTTTGTACTTCAGAGTCTTTAATATGTTTTGAATGTGGAATAAAATTAAGAAATATTATTAAAGATCAAGCCTGAGGGCAGGAAAGGTCATTGTATGTTCTTATGGAACATCTTAGTGGGTTTCCATATTAAAATAACTTTGCATAACATAGACGGAGTTAAATATCAGAAATCAACGTTGTATTATTTATTCAGAGAATACGTTAGTTACTAAATTTTACACTCAAAAGTAGACTTTGTACAAGTAATTCTTCTCATTCTTTAAACCAAACACCCCCCGGAAGTAGTCAAGTCGTGGATAATATAGGATGAGATATAATAATAGTTTACTTATACTAATTATTTAATGTAGCTTAATAATTAGGGAATCTCATTGCCTTGTGTTAGAACAATATGATTGTATGACATAAGAACTGTAGCCAATTAGAGGAGACAAAAGATTCTGGTGGAAAAATAATATTCTACAGCAAGGATTGCTATATAATGGTGTAACTTTGGCAACAAAACAAATAAAACATATGGAGGAGCACATTTTGTTATTGATTCTTCTCTTTCTACTTCAACATTTCTCTGCATTTGTATCATGTGCACCCTCAAATGAGACAGACCAAGAAGCTCTAATAGCTTTCAAAGTCTTATTATAAGTCCCAGTCATTTTTTGGCCAATAATTGGACCAAGAATGCGTCGTTTTGCTCTTGGTTTGGTGTCACATGCAGTTCAAAAAGCCAACAGGTTGTAGCCCTGAATCTTCCTAATTTACAGCTTCAAGGCACAATTTCCCTGTCTTTGGCCAATTTGTCCTCTCTCAGAGAGCTCAACCTCGAGAACAACTTATTCCATGGGGGCATCTCTTATGGACTTGGCCACTTGCCTCGCTTGCGTGTGATTGATGTTAAAAAAAATCAGCTCAACGGTGAAGTATAGCAACAAGTCTATTTCAAAACCAGAGAGTTCAAGTAATTTCATTGACTTTCAATCAACTCAGTGGTGAAATGTGGAGAGGGCCATGGTATGTACCCCAACTCAAAGTCTTAAAATCTCAAGAATAATAGCCTCGCAGGTATAATTCCACCTACTATTGGAAATGCCACAAAGTTGCTGAACTTTAGTTTGTCTGTTAATAGAATCAACGGCAATATTCCTGAGGAGATCGGTAATCTGAGACAGCTTGCAGTTTTGTCCTCGACTGATAATAAATTAACAGGTTCCATTCCTGAAGCACTGTTTCATATCTCGTCACTACTTTCTGTATCTCTGGGAAAGAATAGCCTGTCTGGTCCTCTCTTGGTTGGTAAAGGAAATATTTTATCACATCTGGAGATTTTAAGTTTAACTCGCAATCAAATTTCTGGTCGCATTCCTTCCAGCATCTGCCAACCCATACAACTTAAAATATTGTCCATATCTTTCAACAATATAACTGGAGAAATACCCAAAAATATTGATTGTTTAAGAAGCTCGAGGAGTTTTATATTGGTAATAATCCAATAGATGGGACTATTCCCACTTCAGGGAAATATTTCCACTCTGCGTAATCTTTACTGCGCAAGCAATAACTTGGAGGGGCCAATTCCTCCAGAAGTAGAGAAGCTGTCAAACTTGATAGAATTCGATTTTGAACAAAAAATATAATCTTATTGGTCAGATTCCAGAGGCTATTTTTAATATATCTTCGTTGAATTACATTGCGTTAACTTTAAACAAATTCTCGGGGAGAATTCCAACCTCTGCTGGTCTTCATCTTCCGAACCTCTTAGGACTTTACTTGTCTGGCAATGAGCTTGAAGGGGAAATTCCTCTGCACATCACAAATGCTTCCAGGCTTGTAAGGTTGGGGCTAGCAACCAACTTTTTCAGTGGCAGTATTCCAACTAATTGGGAAAGTCTTCGTGATTTACGACTTCTTTTCCTACATGATAATCATCTTACCAGTGAATATGGGTTGCCATTCTTCCAATCTTTGGCAGACTGTCGGATGTTGCAATATCTAGATGTGGGTTATAATCCTTTGAATAGCATTCCGCCAAACTCAATAGGGAATCTTTCATCTACTATTGAATTCTTTGAAATAAGCGATGCTCAAATTAATGGCCTCATCCCCACAAGTATAGGCAACATGAGTGGTCTTACAACCTTAGTCTTTCAAAATAACAACTTTACTGGAAATATTCTTCTTGAGTTTGGTAATCTTAAACAACTCCCAGGGTTGTATCTAAATAATAATAAATTGCAGGGACATATTCCTGAGGCGGTATGCCATTTATCTCATTTGGGACGATTAAATCTGGAAGGTAATGAGCTCTTTGGTATAATTCCAGCATGTATAGAAAATCTTAGCATGCTACAACATCTTTATTTGGATTCTAATAAATTTTCACCAAAAATTCCGTAGTTTTTGGAAAATGAGTGGTCTTCTCTTTCTAACGTGTCACAAAATTCTATAGAGGGAGAAATTCCATCAGATATTGGACAACTGCAGGTAATTGTAGAGCTAGTTCTTTCTGGTAATCACTTTTCAGGAATGATACCAAGCAATTTGTGTGACCTCCAAAACCTGCAGTCTCTTGCCCTGTCAAACAATTCATTTTCTGGCCAAATTCCATTATCCTTTGCCAACTTAATAAGCTTGGAATTCTTGGATTTGTCTTTGAATGCGTTGTCAGGTACTATTCCTAAGTCTTTGGAAAAACTCCCCCTTAAAAGCATCAATGTTTCATTTAATGAATTAGAAGGTGAAATACCCAGCGATGGTGTGTTTTCAAATTCCACTCTGCAATCATTTCTTGGGAACAGAGATCTATGTGGAGCGCACATATTGGAGATTCCTGCTTGTGTTGTCACCTATCCTGGACAACAATCAAACCTTAAAGAGGTAGTGGTAAAAATTGTTACTCCAGTGATTATTTCATCCTTTGTGATACTCTTGTTGGTCTCAATTTGGATAATGAAATGGCAGAAGAAAGGAAAGTCTAAAGATGTTGAAAAGGTACCAGAGATCAAGACTTTTCAATTGATTTCCTATCATGAGATTCAACGAGCAACTAATAATTTTGATGTATCAAATTTAATTGGTGTGGGAGGTTCAGTCTCAGTGTACAAAGGCATGTTATATAGTGGAGTTGTGGTTGCAATAAAGGTTCTGGATTTGGAAAACGAGCATGTATGCAAGAGGTTTGATGCTGAATGTGAAGTGATTAGAAATGTTAGGCACAGAAATCTTGTTTCAGTTATAACTACTTGGAATCCAGTGATCATATAAGAGCCTTTGTTCTGCAATTTATGTCCAATGGAAGTCTTGATAATTGGTTGTACAGAGAAGATCGCCACTTGAACCTTCTTCAAAGAGTCACCGTAATGCTTGATGTGGCTATAGCAATTGAATATCTACACCATGGTTATGATACTCCGATTGTTCATTGCGACCTAAAGCCAGCCAACGTTCTTTTGGATGAGGATATGGTGGCTCATGTTGGTGATTTTGGCATTTCAAAAATTTTAGTTGTAAGCAAATCCGTGGCACACACGGAGATATTGGGCACTCTTGGATATATTGCACCAGGTACCTATACTACTCTCTTCCTTCTAATTAAACATTAAACCTCTCTCTTTGATTTTCTCTTATCAAAATTAAGCCATTCCAAGTGGTAGAACTATATATATAAAAAGCAAGTCTTTTCTAGTACCAGCATTGTTGTTATATTTCAAGTGAGTAATCTTTTCCATTTTCATTCTTGTAAGAATATAGCTCGGAGGGAATAGTGTCCGCTTGTGGTGATGTTTATAGCTATGGCATCATGCTAATGGAAGTTTTGGCAAAAAGAAGACCAACTGATGAAGAGATATTCAATGAAAATCTTGGCTTGAGGAAGTGGATAAGGCGAGGATTTCCAAAAACTATGTTGGAAGTTGTGGATGCCAATCTTTTTTTCTAGATAAAGAACAAATTACTTCCAAAAGTGAAATCTGCATAGCTTCCATGATAGAATTGGCTTTACATTGCACAACGGAAAAACCAGAATCAAGAATAACCATGAAAGATGTCGTTAAGAGACTTAACAAAATCAAGAACGCATTTTGGGAATTGTAAAAGTTAGCATCTCTTCTGGTTAGGTTCTTTCTTAGTTGCAAGTTAATATGTTTTTTTTTTTTCAGTTATCTGGTTTCTGAGTCATGTATTGTTTGTACTTTATAGTGTTGCATTTCCCTCATTTTGTGATTTCAGATTTGAGTAGATTAAGAATTAAATGAAGAAATATTATGAATGTTTAGAGTTGCACCTCTTTTTCCTCTCCTTCATATGTTGATTCATTAGCTTCTTCTGTCATATTAAACTATTTGCTAAATGGAAATGCTTAGTTAGACTCTGTGAATTTTGCAGGTGAATGAAATGCCAGATCTAGTGATTCAACATTTCTTACACAGTATATATATGTAACGTGAACTCAAACTATTAATTTTATCACCCTTTTTAAGTATTTAATCAGGTTCCGCTTTGGTAAGCTAGGAGGGAGAGGTAGTCGTTAGGATGCCTCGTTAAAATAGTATTTTTTTCCAAGAACCCCTTTTGGAGCATTGATCAAGTATTGTAAAATATTTTTAAAATTGATTAGTCAAATATAAATTATTCTTCTCCAAAATACTATTAACAAAGAACTTTCTTTTTGCCAGTAAGTGATTCCCATTGACTTGAGTTATGAGACAGCTTCTCTGGGCTGCATAATTTCCCATTGACTTAGTTCTGAACCATATAAATATGAAGAGTTTCTATTTTTTCTCAATACAAGTTGATTGACTATCAAGGCCACCCCACCCTCCTTTGGAAAGGAATGGGACTGCTGCAAGTGACTCAAGTGAAGTGGACAGATTCTTTTTCCTTTTGCTACTTATTTTCCTACTTTTCATCTGTTTTCACATACTTATTTTCCTCCTCCGCATTAATCTGCTTTCACATTTTGGAAATTATGTAGACTATCCTTTTCAACATCTTTTACATATATAGTGGAGTATAACTTTGATCTTTGGCAAGACCACACACACAGAAAACATTCTATTTCCAGTGCATAGTAACAGCATGAAGAAGCACATATTTTTATTGACTGTCCTCTTTCTAGTTCAATTTTCTATATCAATTGCTTCCTCAAATGAGACAGACCAAGAAGCTCTACTAGCTTTTCAAAAACTTATTACAAGTCAGAGTCATTTTTGGGCCAATAATTGGACCAAAAATACTTCTTTTTGCTCTTGGTTTGGTGTCACTTGCACTCCAAAAACGCAAAGGGTTGTGGCCTTGGCTCTTCCTGATTTGCAACTTCAAGGCACAATATCCCCGTCTTTGGCCAATTTGTCCTTTCTCAGAGAGCTCAATCTCGAGAATAACTTATTCCATGGTGGCGTACCGTACAGACTTGGACACTTGCCTCGCTTGCGAGTGATTAATGTTCGAAACAATCAGCTAGAAGGAAGTATTCCGACAAGTCTATTTCAACACCAGAGAGTTCAAATCATTTCATTGGCTTACAATAAACTCAGTGGTGAAATGTGGAAAGGGCCATGGTATGTACCCGAACTCAGAATCCTAAATCTCAGGAATAATAGCCTCACAGGTATAATCCCTTCTTCTGTTGGAAATGCCACAAAGTTGCTGAACTTCAGTTTGTCTGGGAACAGAATCAATGGTGTCATTCCAACTGAGATTGGTAATCTCAGCCAACTTATAGAGTTGCATTTGTTCAATAATCAATTAGCAGGTTCCATTCCAGCAACACTGTTTAATATCTCGTCGCTAATTAGAGCATCTCTGGCAAGCAATAGCCTTTCTGGTCCTCTCTTACTTGATGAAGGGAATATTGTGTCAAATATGAAGTATCTAAGTATATCTAAGAACCAAATTTCTGGTTGCATTCCTTCTAACATATGCCAACTCACAGAGCTCAAAATTTTGTCCATATCATATAACAATATGATTGGAGACATACCCAGAAATATTGGTTGTTTATCAAAACTCGAGGAGTTTTATGCTGGTAATAATCCAATAACAGGGACTATTCCCACTTCATTGGGCAATATTTCCACTCTGCGAAATCTTTACTGTGGAAACAGTCGTATAGTGGGGCAAATTCCAAAGGCTATTTTTAACCTATCTTCTTTGGAAATGATTGATTGCAGTTTCAGTAACCTCTCGGGTAGAATTCCAGCCACATCAGGTCTTCATGTTCAGAACCTTAAAGAACTTTTCTTGGGACACAATCAGCTCGAAGGGGGAATTCCATTGTTCATAACAAATGCTTCTAAGCTTGAGATATTGGGGCTAGAAAATAACTTTCTCACAGGCACTATTCCTACTAATTTGGGGAATCTTCATGAGCTGCAAGAACTGTTCCTACATCATAATCAACTTACCAATGAACCAAGAGAGCATGAGTTGCAGTTCTTCAATTCTTTGTCGGACTGTAGGATGTTGCGATATCTACAAGTGGGTTCCAATCCGTTGAATGGCATTCTGCCCAATTCTATTGGGAATCTTTCATCTACTGTTGAATACTTACATATATCAGATGCACACATTTATGGCCCCATCCCCAGGGGTATACGCAACATGAGCGGTCTAATAACCCTAAGCCTTGGAGAGAACAACTTGGCGGGGCGTATTCCTTCTGATGTTGTTAAGCTTGAACAACTCCAAGGGTTGTATCTAAATAACAATAAATTGCAGGGACATATTCCAGAGGCGGTATGCAATTTATCTAATATGGTTCAGTTAAGTCTGGATGGTAATGAGCTCTCTGGATTAATTCCAGAATGTTTAGGAAATCTTAGCATGCTACAAGCCATTAGATTGAGTTCTAACAAATTCTCATCCAAGATTCCTTTGAGCATTTGGAAGATGAGTGGTCTTCTCTATCTAATCATGTCACAAAATTCTATAGAGGGAGAAGTTCCACAGGATATTGGAGGACTGAAGGCCATTGTAGGACTAGATCTTTCTGGTAACCACTTTTCAGGCATGATACCAAGCCAATTGGGGGACCTGCAAAACATGAATACTCTGGACCTGTCGAACAATTCATTTTCAGGCTCAATTCCATTATCCTTTGCCAACTTGATAAGCTTAGAATACTTGGATTTGTCTTTAAATGCGTTGTCAGGTACTATTCCCAAGTCTTTGGAAAAGCTATTATACCTTAAAAGAATTAATGTTTCATTTAATGATTTAGAAGGTGTAATACCGAGTGGAGGTGTGTTTGCGAATTCCACTCTACAATCATTTCTTGGGAACAAAGGTCTATGTGGAATGCACATATTGGAGATTCCTGCATGTGCTATCACTACAACTGGACAACAATCAAAGTCTAAGAAGCTTGTGCTTAAAATTGTTATTCCGGTGGTTGCTGCTTCTTTTCTGATATTTTTGTTCGTTATAGTTTGGATAATGAGACGACAGAAGAAAGCAAACTCCAAAGACGTGGAAAAGGTACCGGATATCAGGACTTATCAATTAGTTACTTATCATGAGATTCAACAAGCAACAAATAATTTTGATGGATCCAATTTAATTGGTTCGGGAGGTTCTGGCTCTGTGTACAAAGGTACATTATCTAGTGGAACTGTGGTGGCGATAAAGGTACTCGATTTACAAAATGAGGAAGTATGCAAGAGGTTTGATACCGAATGTGAAGTGATGAGAAATGTTAGGCACAGAAATCTTATTCCAGTGATTACTACTTGTTCTAGTGAACACATAAGAGCCTTTGTTCTGCAGTATATGCCCAATGGAAGTCTTGAGAATTGGTTGTACAGAGAAGATTGCCACTTGAACCTTCTTCAAAGAGTCATCATAATGCTTGATGTGGCTCTGGCAATTGAATATTTACACCATGGTCATGAAAATTTGATAGTTCATTGCGACATAAAGCCAGCCAATGTTCTTTTGGACGAAGAAATGTTGGCACATGTCGGTGATTTTGGTATCTCTAAAATATTAGCTGTAAGCAAGTCCATGGCACATACTGAGACATTAGGCACTCTTGGTTACATTGCACCAGGTATATACACTAGTCTCATTCCTTTTCACTCATTATTGACCTTTTCTCTAATCAAAATTAAGCTCTTTCGATTTCTAGAAATATATAAAAATCAAGTCTCTGATTGTAAAAAACAATTATTATCTTTCGACTATAATTTATATTTTTTCATTTTCATTCTTCTAAAGAATATGGCTTGGAAGGAAGAGTGTCCAGTAGTGGTGATGTTTACAGTTATGGCATCATGATGATAGAGGTATTGACAAAAAGAAGACCGACTGATGACGAGATATTCGATGAAAATCTTGGCTTGAGGGAGTGGATAAGACAAGCATTTCCCAAGACAATTATGGAAGTTGTGGATGTCAATCTTTTTCATGAGGAAGGACATGTCGATTTCAAAAGTGAACTATGTATAGCCTCCATGATGGAATTGGCTTTGGATTGCACAAAGGAAATGCCAGAGTCAAGGATAACTATGAGAGACGTAGTCAAGAGGCTTGACAAAATCAAGAACACATTTTTGGGAACATAGAAATTAATTAGCATCTCTTAAAGTGGTTTTATTTTAGTTGCAAGTTAATATGTTGTCTTTTAATCAGCTTTTTCTGTTTAATTGGTTTATAAGGAATGACGTTAGAGGGTTAAAATGAAACAAGTACCAAAATGAAATTTTGGTGCAAGTTAGAGGGGCTATCAATGTATTTGACCTTGTGTGGATGTACTTGCATCTTGCTGTTCACATGGGTTCTATCAAAAAGCTCAAAATTTGAATTACATTCTGTGTAGTATTTTTTAAAATGTTATACGGCACAAAATTGAGCTGTGTTAATATGCAAATAAAGTACAAATAAAGGAAAGGATCCAATAATTTTCCTATTTGTCTTCACATGTTACTATAGAGAATTGCATATTATTGCCTTAAGCTTACCTGGTTGTGGTAAATCTTTTGCAAAAACTTGAGTCGACGTGTGTATTTGTTCAAGTTGGTCACCTTTTCTCAAGCTTTGGTGGACAAAATTATCGGTATTGATATTTGTGTGATGATAAGATGTAGCAGATACCTGCAGAATTAGTCAAGCGTGATAAGATGAAGTTGTCAATCTTCATAAATGTTTGAGAAGAAACTAACCTGCTGCACAGTATGGATGAACATCAGGACCAGCTAGACATTCAAAACTTCAAAGAACGTTTACTTTGTGTGAACCCCATTTAATGCCCTTTTGTAAGGGTCAACTGAAGGACATAATTGGTTCATAGTTACTGCAATTCTGCAAGTCAACCACGCACAAGTTCTCATTCGAGTCATTAAACTTCGCTTTGTATTTATAAAATCACTCAACTTAAACCTTTGTATTGACAAAATCACTCAACCAAATTTATCATTAAAAAAAATCATAATATGTATTGATTGACGATGAGAAGAAAAAAAAAGATAAGTAATCTAATTTTTGGGAACACAATACTCAAAAGTAACTGCGGATGAAAGTGGTATTTACTGTATATATATTGATTTCAAACCCTTAATGTATAATTTTTACTTCTTTCCAAGTGTAGTTTCATGGTAAACAGAAGTTGTAACAAGATTGGGTAAAAATATAAACCTATAGCTACAGAGGCAGGAATAATAACACCGAAAACAATATTATTTTTATAAACACAAGTTGAAGCGGACTTGATCCCTTCAAGTTGTTTCTTGCCAAATCTAGCATTATCAATGATATCAAATTGCCATAGTAAGTTTATATTGTATATGTGAGAGATGTAATATTCTATTAGATATTGTAAGATATGCTATAGGAATATTTTTAGTGGAGATTTTAGGTTTAGGAGACTAAACTCATGTATATGTATTCTTTCCTTCATGTAATGATATAGGAGATCAAATTCTTCAAGTACTTATCTCTGATTTATACTTGACAATATAGAAAAAATAATTTCTTCGAGTTAGCTACTAATGTCAACTATCAAGTGAAGTGGACAGATTCTTTTTTCTTTTGCCACTTATTTTGCTCCTTTAGTTTTGATCTATTTTCACATTACTCTTTTTGCCAGTTATTTGATCTGTTTAGCACATTAATCTTCTTGCTACTTATTTTCTTCCTCCGTATTAATTTGTTTTCACATTTTCAAAATATTGTGGAGTAACTTTGATCTTTGGCAAAACCAGACACACAAATTAATCCAAATTCCCTTTCCAGTGCATAGTAACAGCATGATGAAGCACATTTTTTTATTGACTCTTCTCTTTCTAGTTCAGTTTTCTGTATCAATTGCTTCCTCAAATGATACGGACCAAGAAGCTCTACTAGCTTTCCAAAATCTTATTACAAGTACGAGTCAATTTTTGGCCAATAATTGGACCAAATATACTTCTTTTTGCTCTTGGTTTGGTGTCACTTGCAGTCCAAAAAGGCAAAGGGTTGTGGCCTCGACTCTTCCTGATTTGCAACTTCAAGGCACAATTTCCCCGTCTTTGGCCAATTTGTCCTTTCTCAGCCTGCTCAATCTCCGGAACAACAAGTTCCATGGCGGCATTCCTTACGGACTTGGCCACTTGCCTCGCTTGCGAGTGATTGATTTTCAAAACAATCAGCTCCAAGAAAGTATTCCAACAAGTCTATTTCAACACCAGAGAGTTCAAATCATTTCATTGGCTTTCAATAAACTCGGTGGTGAAATGTGGAAAGGGCCATGGTATAAATCTCAGGAACAATAGCCTCACAGGCATAATCCCTCCTCCTATTGTAAATGCCACAAAGTTGCTGAACTTCAGTTTGTATGGGAATAGAGTCGGTGGGAACATTCCAAAGGAAATTGGTAATCTCAGCCAAATTGAATTTTTGTCCTTGTTCGATAACCAATTAACAGGTTCAATTCCTGCAGCACTATTTAATATCTCCTCGCTTCTTGTCGCATCTCTAGCATTCAATAGCCTTTCCGGCCCTTTCTTGCTTGATGAAGGGAACATTGTGTCAAATCTAGAGTCCTTAACAATATCTAACAACCAAATTTCTGGCAACATTCCTTCCAACATTTGCCAGCTCGCAGAGCTCAAAGCGTTGTCCATATCTTTCAACAAGATAACTGGAGAAATACCCAAAAATATTGGAATAATTCACGTGGGAAGTGCACAAATCAGTGGCCTCATTCCCACAAGTATAGGAAACATGAGCGGTCTAATGTCGCTAGCATTTGAGGATAAAAACTTGATGGGAGCCATTCCATCTGAAGTCGGTAAGCTCCAACTCCAAGGTCTGTATCTTTATGGCAACAAATTGCAAGGGAATATTCCAGAGGTAGTTTGTCATTACCTTATTTGGTTACATTATTTTTGCATGTTAATGAGCTCTCCAGGGTGGTCCCAAAATGTTTAGAAAATCTTACCACACTACGAGTTCTTTCATTGAGTTATAACAAATTTTCATCAAAGCTTCCCTTTGAGTCTTTGGAAGATGAGTGGCCTTCTCTATCTTTTCATGTCACAAAATTCTATACAGGGAGAAGTTCCACATGATATTGAAGGCCATTGTAAAACTAGATCTTTCTGGTAACCACTTTTCCGGCATGATACCAATCCAATTGGGAGATCTCCAAAACATGGAAGTTCTTGACCTGTCAAACAATTCATTTTCAGGCTCAATTTCATTATCCTTTGCCAATTTGATAAGTCTAGAATACTTGAATTTGTCTTTCAATGCATTTGTCAAGTACTATTCCTAAGTCTTTGGAAAAGCTTTCATACCTTAAAAGCATCAATGTCTCATTTAATGATTTAGATGGTGAGATACCTAGTGGTGGTGTGTTTTCAAATTCCACTTTGCAATCATTTCTCGGGAACAAAGGTCTATGTGGAGTACACATATTGGAGATTCCTGCTTGTGCTATCACTAATCCTGGAAAACAATCAAAAGTCTAAGAATCTTGTGCTGAAAATTGTTATTCCAGTGGTTACTTCATCCTTTGTGATATTATTGATGGTGTTAGCTTGGATAATAATGAAACAAAAGACGAAAGGAAATTCCAAAGACGTGGAAAAGGTACCAGATATCAGGACTTATCAATTGGTTTCTTATCATGAAATTCAATGAGCAACAAACAATTTTGATGGATCCAATTTAATTGGTACAGGAGGTTCTGGCTCTGTGTACAAAGGTACATTATCTAGTGGAACTGTGGTGGCAATAAAGGTTCTCGATTTGCAAAATGATGAAGTATGCAAGAGGTTTGATACTGAATGTGAAGTGATGAGAAATGTTAGGCACAAAAACCTTATTTCAGTGATTACTACTTGTTCTAGTGAATACATAAGAGCCTTTGTTCTGCAGTATATTCCCAATGGAAGTCTTGAGAATTGGTTGTACAGAGAAGATTGCCACTTGAACCTTCTTCAAAGAGTCAACATAATGCTTGATGTGGCTGTGGCAATTGAATATCTACACCACAGTCATTATACTCCAATAGTTCATTGCGACCTAAAGCCAGACAACGTTCTTTTGGATGAAGAAATGGTGGCACATGTTGGTGATTTTGGCATCTCTTAAATATTAGCTGTAAGTAAGTCCATGGTACATACTGAGACACTAGGCACTCTTGGTTACATTGCACCAGGTACATACGCTAGTTTCGTTCTTTTTCACTAATCATTAACCCTTTATCGTATCAGAACTAAGCTCTTCCGAATTCTGGAACTAAATAGAAATCAAGTCTTTCCTTTTACAAAACAATTATTATCCTCGGACTGTAATATATTATTCATTTTCATTCTTCTAAAGAATATGGCTTGGAAGGAGTACTGTCCATTAGTGGTGATGTTTAAAGCTATGGCATCATGATGATGAGGTATTGACAAAAAGAAGACCAACTGAAGACGAGATATTCAACGAAAATCTTGGCTTGAGGCAGTGGATAAGACGAGCATTTCCCGGGACAATTATGGAAGTCGTGGATGTCAATCTTTTTCATGAGGAAGAATCTGTCAATTTCAAAAGTGAAATATGCATAGCCTCCATGATGGAATTAGCTTTGGATTGCACAAAGGAAATGCCAGAGTCAACGATAACTATGAGAGACGTAGTCAAGAGGCTTAATAAAATCAAGAACACATTTTTGGGAACATAGACATTAGCATCTCTTAAAGTGGTGTTCTTTTTTAGTAGCAAGTTAATAGGTTGTTTTTTAATCAGTTTTTTAAAGTTCAAATAATGGTTCAAATGGATGAAGTTGGGGGATTAAGATGGAACAATGTTGAGATGCAGTCCGGCATCCAAACAAACACTTTTTAAATCCTAATCACCAAAAGGGGCACTCTCTAAAAACATACACCAAAACGGATAGTTGCCCATTTATGGGCATACTATAACCATCATTTTTTAACACCGCCATCCCCGTTAACTCAAAATTCATCAAAAATAGTATTACACAAACTTTAAAGGTAGTTCACCTACAAATGAGCAAATTACAATTCTTTCTATTAACTCCTTACGTGAATCTATATCTCTTTCTTCCTCGTGAGAAGTTATATATCTCTTTCTTCAACTATAAGTATGAATTATTCACTCCACATTTTCTCGTACATCTTCTACATTTGTATACTTTATATTTTGATTTTTGAAATTTGATAGTTATGTCCCAATAATCCGGAAAGTGTATGTACTCAATTGAACCAAATGTTTGTAAATGCAAAGAGTATTGTAAATGAAAACATCAAGGACTCCGAGAAATTTTGGTAGTAAGTTTTAGAGTTTTGCGCGTTCAAAGGTAAAAAGAGAAAGTAAGTTGTTCACTTCAAACGCCAATATGAAATTTGTAGAAGATAGAGATCTTTAAAGGACATTGCTAAAAGAATCAGAAGAAAAACAAAATCACTTTAAGAATATGGTTAATGAAACCCAGCAGGAGAGTTGTATTTTGAAAAGAAAATTGAATGAAGAAGAGAAAAAATAATTGTTGGACGTTTTTGATTTTCTATTTGATTTGGAAATATATTATAGTTGATTAGTTCAATGTTATTTTTACTTAACCTCAGTTTCTATGTAGTATGTATTAGACTTTTAAGATTATGTGTAAATTAGGTATATAGCATTTTATATAGTAATATTCTCAAGTTATAGCATTAGAGTTTGAATTTCAGTGTATAACATTTAATATTTCAATCTATAGCATTTTATTAATAAATATAATGTTAATTATAATTTATTAAAAAGAATTGTTATTAAAAAATTAATAAAAAAAGGGATAAATTAACAATAATATACCTAATTAACAAACGGATAAACTAATAATGGAAAATGAGATATTTTATTAATTACATTAAATGTAGTTAGCACATTTTGAAACTGTACACTAGCACGTTTTAAGGAATTTTAATTAAAAATTAATATTAGATTAATATGTTTTTAGGGATATCAAAAATTTTCAGATTAGCATCATTGCCTTAAATATCTCTAGTTAGTTTAAATGATATTATTATTTTTTTATTTAATTTCTTAAAAAATTCTACCATATTTTAACGATTATTTTTAGATTTTTTTCAAATTGGCATTTTGAAATCTATTTGCATCATCGTTACAATTCATTTTTTTTCCAAATTTTCACGATTATTTTCAGATTGGCATCAACGTAGAAGTCATTTTTCCCCAAAATTTCACGATTATTTTTAGATCTGCATATTTCAGTTCGTTTTTTTAGTAACCTGATAAATTTTGGCGTTTGAAACAATTTGATTTGATGTGATGAAGAACATTATGTCAATATTAATTGAACATGATGGAAAGTGGAATTCATCATGTTGGTTTTTAATTATGATTTGTTTATTTTAATTAATTTAATGTTTTTTACATGTAGAACAGTGTTAGATTTTTTTGATAACTGTATTATCTGAAAACAGTTTGTATATTATTTTTTTTGAATGAAATAGTCATGTTACGTATAGCTTATTTGAAGTCTGGAGTTTGTATTATTAGTGTATGAAAAGTATACGAAACGTGTATCAAATGTTTATGAAAGTCCTTTTTTTTAAAAAAAAAATATTCTAGTTTCTATTGAAATTAGAATATATGTTTTTGTATTAATTTTTTATTGAAATTATATTGTGTTTATTTAATTGGAGTAGTTTGTAGGACAGTGAATGATATATTAAATGTGTATAAAGTGTGTATGAATTATATTAACTAATTATAAATGGTCATCTTCTTCCAATAGTTTTCCAATTTAAACTTGTGGTAAAAATTTGACTTGGGGACTTTGTCAAACTCTCCGAAATTTTCTGCAATTAATCTATTTGAAACAGATGGATCAGAAACAAAATCAGAAATTGGTCAAGATTTTAGATCGGTTACAACGATCAACTCTTTTAAGTCAAAACGTAACTCTGTACCATTTTACATTGATAATGAACATGTCATCCCTGCCAGTTTCAAATTCAAGAAGGAAAGTATGACGCAACAATTGACATCAGATTTTTATGTTATGTAAATCATAAAAAAAATCCAAATGAAATTTCTTGTAAAAATTGCTAAAACTTATCTTGACCGAGGAAGGTCAACAAATTAGCAAACAAAATCATGTTGATACAGAAAGATAAATGTGTTTGAACCTTCTTCTCCTATAAAATTTGTAAAACTAAATTATTACTTTTTATATACTATAAAATTCCATAGAAAAAATCATATATACAATTCTATATTAAATTGACATTCAATTTCATACGCAAATCATACAAATTATATACAAAATTCATACAATATTAATACATATTCGATGGACATTTAATTCAATTCATACAGAAATCATACAAATTATATGCCTCAGTTCATACACAATTCATACAATATTAATACATATACGATTTTAAAAAAAACACTAATATGTGACTTTAAAACTACATACTAAACTCATTTAGTATGAATATGTCAATTCATACATCAAAATCAAAATAAAATATATAGTTGCAATACTTATTATAATAGTCAAAATTATAGGATACACAACATTAATACATCATTCAAACACATATATTTAACAGGACAAGAATATCATTTCATACATATATGATACAAAGGTAATACATAATGCATACACTCCTGTATCGATAATGACCAATTATTTCATACACAAAATCATACAAAACTAATACATTATTATGTATAAAATCATATACTGATATATTCAAATTATATCATATACAAAACATACAACACTAAATCATTCAATATTCATATTTAATTATAATATAAAATATTAAAAATTCAACTCATACATAAATCATACAATTTCATGTAGTATACTATTGACAAATAAAATCAAAAATTAAATACACTAACACAACACATTGTAATCCAAATTTGAAATAATCTTTTTACTGACTTTATCAATTTTTTTGGGTTTATTTGTAGCTTGTATCCCTGATGTTTTTTTTGAAAACTTTCTTGTTGATCGATCACTTTCAATGCCTCTTTGATTTTTTTTCCATCTTCGAATTAACTGAACTACACTTCTCTTTTCCCTTTGATTTCTGTGCTTGAGTTTGTGACAATATATTGAATGAAGGAACATGAAAGTCATCAGTCTCATCGACCAATCTTTTACTTTTACTTGGGGTTTCACTACCTTTCCTAGACATTTTGTATGAACTAAATGGAGAACTGATCTGAGAGGTATGTTTGGATTTTGAGTGAACTGATCTGAGAGGGATAATGGGGAAGATGAGTGAGGCGAGATTTGGGTAAGAACAAAAAATCTTTGTGTGTTGGAAAGAGATGATGAGTGAGACAGGATTTGGGAAAGATCAAAATATCTTCGCGTGTTGGGGAGAGATGGAGTGTATTGGGGAAAGATGTTTATGTATGTATTGGTTGAGACGGGGGTGGATAGTTATTGGGCAACCGTATAATAGGGAATTAATTAAAATCAAATCCCTATTATTTAGATTTTATTTTTTAAAAGGTAACTATATAATGTAAAATTTAATTAATAATAATTTATTATTTATATTAAAAGCCTTAAAAGGTGAAAAAGAGAGAAAAAAATCATGTTTTAATTTGATTTAAACTAGTTTGAGCATTTTAAGGAAACTGAATAATTTAAGTCCTTTTTGAATTCCTTAACATGTGCTAATTTGTTAATTATCCATTATTAATCAAAATTAATTCAAATCCCACAATTAGTGCTGGTTACCAATTCATACATAAACGTTTTTTTCTTTTTATTTTATCTAAAAATAAAAATAAAAAGTTAGTTGTAAAAAATAAAAATAAATATTTAAACATATTAATTAGTATTTAAATAATTACTTATAATTTATTTTTAATTAAATATATTTTTAATTGATATGCTATAACTCGATAATAATCTGCTATAAGTAATTTATTTTTAAAAAGTAAGTTTATAACTTGATATATATAACCTTAAATGTGTATAGGGTGTTATTTTTATTAAGATTATTATAGTTGAAGAAAGAGATAGATTCACGTGTCGTTCGCCCATTTGTGGGTGAACTATCTTTAGAGTTTGTTTGATATTATTTTGGATGGATTTGGACTTA